ATAGCGAATTAGGTAGTTAAAATTTCAAATTATAACGTTATTGATCGCTAAGTCACTTAATAAATAAATCAAGTCATCAATTAACAACAAGATCGCTACAACAAGACCCGAAAGATGTTCTGCAATATTCTGAATTTCAGCAAAATAACATTAGCTGGCAGGTAACACTCGACGTTACGACATTATGAAACGATTTTGAGGTCGCACTTTTATTTTGATGATAAAAAGGAAGTCGATAAGTTTAGGGAGGCCAAATTTTGTACATAAAAACAAGCATAGAATTAATTAATTCCGAATTACACAAATAAGTCCATGCCCCCCAACAGTCAAATAATATAAAGCGATAGCAAGAAAAATTTAGCTCACTTGATCTGGCGAGTTCGGAATAGCGAGCAGAACAGAAAAATCCAGTCAGAACGATGTAGAACTATTGCCATCAAAATAAGTCCTTTAGGTTGACTGAGCTGCAAGCGTTCTTACTATGAGAGATATATGCTTATCTAAATTGCGTTAAACAAGAAACAATGCCTCAAAAATAATTATAGAATAAAATATTACTTTAAAAATGCCTATAAAGAGAAGACAAGTTGCAACATTTGTCAAATAAATATTATCTAAAGCTGGAGGCGATCCTCAGTCGAGCATGAAATACACGAGCAGACGATAGTAGATGTCGCATAAAGCTCTGAGAACAGCAATCAGATCAATAATACTCGTAGATTGCAAGCCCTTGAAATCTGTAGTAATCTAAATTTAACAGACCAGCAATAAGATCAATGGTAGGGCATAACTGCATAAGCCGTCAACATGTGTAGTAGTCTAAACTTAACAGATCAGCAATAAGATTAACGGTTGTTTCTCAACCGTCTTTGATGCCCTCGTCTATAGTCTAAAATTAAACAATCAGCAGTGTGATCGATGATTGTTTGAGACAAGACAACTCAAACGACAATTGAGATTGTCCTTAGCTGTTCAATGTACATTGCGATAAGTAGGAGATGGTCGACAGCAGGTTACTACGCATGGTGTCAAGTAGATTATTGACCAAACTCTTGTCAACTCGTCAAGAAATGACAGAAAACACTTATTATGACTTATACTTTGAGCCAGCAGATACTTGAGGTACTCGACGAAATTATTCGTGACCAGCAGATAATTAGATACGAGGCGTGTCCCTGCGATAAGTCACACGGGCAGCAGGCGCTAGGATCGTTTCTATGGGCGGCTAGGCAACAGAGACATGTTATAATAATAATAATAATAATAGCGGTTTCAGCGTTTATTAGGCCGTAGGCCTGTCGCCGATTCTTAACGTCGCAGAACATCCACAGTTCGCTGCGGTCTCAAACTCGCAAAACCCTGCTACAATTCTGCTGTGCTTTAACCGCCCGGCCTCCTTGCCGATTCTGACCAGGAACTGGCGCACAGAGCTGGGATCGAACCCGCGCCTCTCTGCGCCAATCCTGGTACTCTGAACTTCAACTACTGGGCCACCCTGCCACTACACTGTACACTATTCCCCAACTGGCAGATGGATCAGGGAGGGGGACTGGGACTTTGGAAATGACTTTGAAAATGGCCGAACTGACGTCCACGACGACGCCCGTGCAGGGCAGCCTTCGGTTTCTTACGAAACAATTGCCAAAGGTGAAGCTTTAATACTTGAAGATCGACGGATTACAGTTCGAGAGCTCCGTGAAAAATTCCTGAGGTCAGCAAAACCACAGTTGACAAGATTTTGACTGAAAATTTAGGCTATTCAAAAGTCTGGCGCAAGATGGGTATCAAAAAAGCTCGCTACAGACCACCAGCAGCAGCGGGCGTCGTCGTGGCGGCAGCGGGCGTCCCTGCACGGGCATCAGTTCGGCCATTTTTAAAGTCCCTGACCCATCTGCCAGTTGGGTAATCAAACGACATGTCTCTGTTGCCTAGCCGCGCATAGAAACGATCCTAGCGCCAGCGGCAGCCCGAGGAACTTATCACACGGACACGCCTCGTATATACTTGGCGAACTTAGTTTGCCAGCAGACACTTTAGATATATAAATAGCGAACTTATTCGTTGTCAGCATATACCTACATAAGATACTTTACGAACTTACCCGTTGCCAGCAGATATTCGAGATACTTTACGCTTTACTCGTTGCCAGGAGATACTTGAGATACTTTACGGACTTAATCGTTGCCAGCTGATACTCCAGATACTTTACGACTTAACTCGTTACCAGCTGATACGTACTTAAAGATACCGGACTCACTACTTTTAAATCGATCACTTGCTTCGAGGCAATTGAAACGATAATAAAAATTTTTATAAAGATAGCCCATCAGATCACATTTGCTAGAAATTTGAAGTTTAATCATGTTCCTCAGTAATTATAAATACAGAAACTGAATAGCCTAACACATCTGTGTGGTTTCAGCATGATAAAGGTACATATTTCCCTAATTATCCGATTACTCACATGTGATTAGGTGATTTTAGGCTGCGTTCAATCCAAGCTAAACTATACAATATTCTCACGCCATAGTTGGCACGCTACGTCTGCAAAGATACACTGCAAGACTCGCTTAGAATAAATAGTAGTAGGATGGTTTGCTAGCGCTTCAGCCATGAAGCTATTTCGCGCGAGAGGTCAAAAATTAACTTCGCCAGCAAGGCGGAAGGTCTTCATTATTTACAATTTCTCAATTGTGTCATCACCAATAAGGGACGGAAGGTCTCAAGTGACCAGCAGCTAGCTGGAAACAAGCAGCGTTAGCATCTCAAAGAGACGAAGTGACAAGGAAGGACAGGTGAAATGCAACAGAAAAGAAGACACTCGCACAAAAGGTCGCACGCAAGAGGAACGAGAGAGAGACAGAGAAGAGAAATGTAAGGAAACCTGCCTCCATGATAACTTAACCCCACAACTGAGACCTGCAGTCACATACTACAAACTCTGTAGTAGGCGCTCAGGAACAATGCACCTAGGAACTCAATCCCATAGGACTTCTGACAAGCAGAGATACACGTCAGAAGACACCCCTGATGGGGCAGCTTAGAATGATAAACTACTCTACATGTTTAGCATAAGGAGCAGGATCGATGCTTTAAGAAATACCTTTAGATCATACAACTTACCCGTTGAGAAAACAAGTGAAGCAGAGTAAATAAGCATATTACATAAATTAGGTACGTGAGACGCAAATACTACATTAATACTATAAAACGTAACACTACTTATCATATTGTAATGTCACGATACAAATTGTGACAAAATACTTGTGCACGAGGCGCGTTGAGAATTCATACAGGAAAGTGATAGGCTATTTTAGCTTAGCCTCGTCCGGTATACCAGGACACTCACTACAGATCTATGGATCATGAAATATTTCTACTACGGAAGGACGGAGACGTCGCATGATACGTAGCCACTGGAAGACTATCGTGTTAATTGCAATGCATTGCACGTAAATTTTTGTGGATGGAATGCTTCCTCTTTAGTAACTGTACCAGGAAGTTGGGTATAAGAAACATGTTACGATACATAGGATGACATTATGCTCGTTATTACGCAAGCGGCTCGACAATACTGCGGACACACAGAGCAGGGGTTTGAGACTCAGACAAGAAGTCAGAGACATGGTGAGTAAAATGGTCCAATACTTTGCAGTGGTACCAAACGTAACGTAACCAGTGTCTTCTAAGTATGATGTGTGCTCAATGTGACGCTGGTCTGAGTACCGTCAATGCGTTGATTGGTTCATAAATGAGAGTAATATACCTATGCTTCAACGTGCTCTAAGTAGGCGTGTGTACTCATCACTTGAACATACAACATCCATGCCGAGTACGTCATCACAATAAAGCGTACACATCGCACGGAGCAACCATTAGTGGCCACGTTACATCGCACTAAGCAAGGGCTACTCAATTTCACGTCATCACTGAAATTGACCAATCGATCGGCACTGAAATCGACCATGATAACATGTTGCGCAAGTCTAGCAATTAACCAAGCCAGTTAGTTGGATTAATGGCAGATAAAAAGTTTACCAACGCTTAAGCTAATAAGAAATCTAACCAAGCCAGCTACTACAACTTGCAGTCTTCGCGCCCCTTCAAGCACAACAGCTCTTGTATTTCAAGTATTTGTACCGAATGTCGCGGATAGCAGTTTGTTATTTACATCACAATTGAACAGCGATAACAGACTAAGATTCTCTACAAAGAGAGAGGTCGTAAGAGGTAGATCTATACCTACTTTATAATTAAACTAGAGACAGCGGGAAACTTGCAACAATAACACCGAACCAGGGATTAGGATTAAGATGGTGCATAGAATTAAGATGGTGCATAGGAAGCGAACAATTTCCATGGCACTCAATGGAAGAAGGGAATACATTACAACGACCAGGTTCCTTACTGGCACCAAGCAGACCCACAAGGTCAAGTCTCACTCCGCACCGACAGAATTTCGACGTTTTCTGCACCACAAGATCTTTTAAAAACAGAACAATAAAATAAAGCTCGGGCAACATTAAGCCTGAGAGTAAAATAATGATCAGTTGATACGAGCCAATAGGCATCACAATTCATTGATATAAACCGCCCAAATTCATCTAGTAAAATTCAACAGTCCGTCTTCATTGGCGTAGAAATTGCACATAAAATGGCAAAAGATTGTTAGGCACAGAATATAGGAACTTAAGTTTACAATCTTCATGCAATTATATTAAATTATCAAGTTGAAAATAATTTAAGTATACTTAATCATAAATCTAATACAGATCAATCATGCCGCATATCGAGTAATGTACGAGGAGTAAATGGTAGAACAATAAATAACGATAAGCTCGGGTATTGCATTGTGAACTACAGAATTAAATAACATTAAGAGCTTATGATAAGTATATAACATTATAAATAATTGCATAACTGAGACCACATCAATAATTACATTCATGATTCAGGTGGATATCACTAATCTAAACTGAGTCTGTGCTTGCGACATCGCATCATCTGTTTTGAGTGGCATTATTGCTCTGCCCATCGCCGCTCGGTGATTGTCGACTAGAAAACGGGATTGGCAGACCCAAGTCCCTGCGAAGCGTTAGTTCATTTGTGAAGGGTTCGTCCCACAGTCGCAGGGTGCGGGTGTTTGCTTCGTGAGCACCACCAGGTGAGGTGCTTCCACTCGTCCTATGAGGAGACAAATGAACGCCTGAGGAACTAGTGGCCTCATTCAGGTCGTTAACGATCAGGCGAGGCTCTGAACGCCTGGCGGCAGGGACGTTACCAGAGAACAGCTCATCTTCATCAACTCCCCAAATGTCATTCGTGACAATTTCATCCTCCTCATGACCGTCCGCGCTCTCGGACTTCCACCACTCCAAGAGGTTGCTCACGACTGACCCTGACCGCTTCTTTATAGTCCTCGCGACATCGTCATCGCCGCCAGGTGCCACAAGCCGCGTTTCCCCGTCTGTAGCCACCCACGTCTCCACTTGCTCCACATCGACTTGCCCCTCCTCCTCCCCTGCGTGAGTATCACGTTCTCCTGCATCGGTCGTGCGCGTACTGCAGCACCGATTGCGTGTCCAGGGCGTCGCGGTAGACGAACTCCACCTCGTCAGGAGTCAGGCTCAGCAGCACGCGCGTCACTTCAGACTCTGTAACGCCAGGAAAAAGTTAGACAGTGGCATGCAAGCTGCGTTCAGTGTAGGAGTTTGCACATTAATTGCAAAAATTAAAGGTACAAGCGTTCGTTGTCAATAATCTGCAATGAAATGACTCGAGGAAATCATAGCGCTGTGGCAGGTAAAAAATTTATTAACATGCTTCACTCACTTGGCTTGGATCTGTTTTTGTTGACGGTTTGATTATACTGCATCCTGAAAGTGAAGGCCTCGATGATGAAGGCAAGCACTACGCTCATCACAACCATCATCACCATGTAGAAGAGCATAAAGAACACGCGCGACCCATCACCACACACAAACGCGTAGCCTGCGACAGAAAAATATTTAGATTAATGACAGGTAAGCCTGTCGAATTGTAGTTACATTTCATTTATCATAAATGTGATGTAACGTTTCTTTCCGTCATGAGCCCATCAGGTGGAAAAAGAAGTCAGGCTTACCGGTGTTTAAATTTTCCCATTGTTTAAAAAATTCATTAATTTCAAACTGAAATTTTAACATTCTTTGTAACGCGAGAAAAATGGCATTCGCCACAAGTTAGTGCGATCGAGATAATTCATCAAGTGCATCAAACTCCTTAAATTAGTGTTAGATTTCAAAAATTTCTGAAGCCGCTAAGTCATGAATAATGGTACCAAGTGAGATTAAACTAAACAGGTTTTAAAGCAACATAACATAGGTAACCTAAAGCTCCGACTAAAAACGCATGACAGAGACTTAAATGGAATAAATTGCAGCACGCAGTAAAAATCAACTTATGTATAAATAACAAACAAAATACCTACCTAATTGAGTAAAATATTAATAAGAATCACCTTCCATGATGATGAACCAGTTGTTGACGACTGTGAGCTCGAAGAGCGTCACTCCCGCCATGAAGATGTTGTCAAAGTTGTTGAGGTAATAGTAGCTCTGATACGCAGAGCTGTTGTCAGCCTTGTAGTACTGCTCAACTGTGCTGTTCCTGCACGCAACAATCTAAGAATTAACAAGTTGTTACGAATATAACAAGCGCATGAGATGTTAACAATTTGAAATTGCGAATATGGAATTGGAATTGGGGTGCGTGGTGACCTACGGTCACGACCTTTAAATCGGTCATGCACGCTGCCTAAAAAACTTTTACTAGCATCAAAAAAATTAAAAGTTCACACTCTTATGTTAATAAAAAAGTTCAAATATACCATATTCACAGCTGTCCTAAGAAAAAATATAAAAATTTGACAATCGCAAAAAATTAAAACCACGTACTAAAACAATTTACGCCCCACATTCCATCAACAAGTGCTCTACAGTTTCCTTCTCATCCCCATCACACATAAAACATTTATCTTCTCTCCTTTCATTCCACCTGTATTTCATTCCACCTGTACGTCCATTCACACCTAGCGCGCCTGCCCTAACACAAAACAGAAGGTCCCCACCTCTACTACCATCATACATACATTCATATTGAAAACATGAAAACAAAAATTCTGAAACTCACACGCTTGCCACACGCACATCCATAAGCCCTTCATTGCTAGTACGGCAATAATAACTTTCATGCAGGATTCCTGCAGGTAGGTACTCCATCACGCACGGCGGTTGTTCTCTATACCCACAAAATTTCTTGCTTTCCACATACTTACACTATTCTGGCCTACAAGAAAACCTACCATTAAAAAACTATTTCTGCCAAACTCCACCAATAAAGTACCTTCTACCAACTCTACCACTGGGCTCTTACACGCAACAGTTCTCAAGGTTGTACGGTGAGAACATCTCCATGCCGATGATGGCGAAGAAGTAGTAGATGAGGATGATGACCACACACGCGGACATCACACGGGGAGCCAGCAGCAACATCGTCTCGAATACCTCCCGGTACCGACGCCGTATGCGGAACAGGCGCAACAACCTGCGTGCCAGGTAATAGTTTGTGAGCAAACCTAGTGTTCAAAAACTTGGTCAAAATGAAATAAAAATGCTATCGTCAAAAACAAAGGCTATTAACATGGCAGTCAAAAGCAAAATTGTGACGAAGCAAGACGCAGTACCAAACCCAAATAGATAATACACAATGAAAATTAAGAAATTATTCAAAAGTAATCTATTGATTGATGTGTTGATAATAAACCGCACCTGAGAAGCCTGAGAATGACGATGTAGTGGAAGGACCGATAGAAGGCCTCTGCTATAACTCCAGCAATGCTGAGCAGCGTGACGGTGATGTCAAAAATGTTCCAGCCACAACTGAAGTACTCAGTGACACCAAGACCCAGCAGCTTCAGCAGCACCTCGCAGCTGTAGACTGAACATAAACTCAGTCAATACTTCAATATAGTATTCAATAGAACATACCGTAGCATGCTAGGGAAGAGATATATATTACCGTTTTGTGCACAGCACAGTGGGCACTCGCAAACAATATACAAGCTACGCAGCAAGGTCGGACAGAATATACACTGTATTCTGTTGACACAGAATATACAAGCAACGGTATATTCTGTTCACACAGATTATACAAGCAACGTTATATTCTGCTCACACAGAATATGCAAGCAACACAGCACAGTGGGCACTGACACACAATAAAGATGAGCTGGAACCACGAGACGTGCGCCTCAACAGGCAGGCTGCCGCCCCCCGCGGACGCGAAGAAAGTTACGATCAGAAGCTCTACGCCATTGCTGCATATCACCAGGTCTACAAAGGACATTTGTCAGCATTACAAAATTTTAGATTATTTCAGAAAAATCTATTTATCAACAGATTTCATAATCACTTCCAAATTATCCTGAAAGTATGGCGCAAACTAGGCAAAACTATTCAAAATACGATTTAAAAAAAACATTATAAATATGATTATGAAGAACAATAAAGTGTGGTTTGATACAAGTTTACGTAATCTAATCGTACTTAGCTATATGGAACTGCCAAATTGAATGTGAGAAGAGATGATGTCAGTAGAAAAACTCACTTGGAACAATTTTTAAGGAAACAAAAGTCACGGTTTCATCAAAGCATCTGATAAAAAGTTTTTTACGAAACATTGAATAAAAAGTTTTCAAGAAACGCCTGGCTTACAACTTGAACTTTGTAACGTAAATATTTTTCTCTAAGAAATCCATAGATGGAAATAAAGCAATGTCGACCAACAACGCATCTTATCAGGCAGGGTCAAATTTTCAGCAAGGTTATACATGCATAATAAACGAGTTAGTCACTAAGACTGACACACAAAGGCCTCCCACACAGGTGAGGTGACCATCTTCCTGATGGCCGCCCCCACGGCAGGTCCTGGCGCCGGCAGGTGGCAGTACCACGCAGGCTCAGGGTCGGTGGGTCGCCACTGCAGGCCGCACGCGATGTATACTTGATAGAACTGTCGCGCGTCTCAAAGCAGCAAATACATTTTTTTCAAGACTACAATATTCAATTGGAAACTCTCCAAGCGCTCGACAGTCAGGTAAATTCTAAGAAGAGAAGTCATTAATTATCTCTAATGAAAGAGATTATGATGATAAGATATTTATACTAACTATGTTTAGTTTTAAAATGATTAATGATAAAAAAAATGAAAATGAAATAGAAGCTAAATAAAGCTGGTAGGTATAAGAGGGAAAACGATTTTCCGTCTATTATAAAAAATCAAAATTAGTTTATTATGTAGGCGACCAGAAACACAACTCAGACATAAGGTCGCTTGTTGGTAGTCTCTTCACTGGCAAGCAGTAACCCAAGATCTAGTACATAACTATACTAGTAATTTTAATGCCCAGGCGCTTCACGTAAACAGACATTTTCATTTAATAGAACGGCATCGCAGATACTACTCGCATGTATTCATAGACCTACAAACAGGGACTGTTTAGAGAATGAAAATAATGAGAAGAAATTCGACATAACCGACGTTGTTTTGTTAAAAGTACGTTATTTAAACTCACAACAGCGACGGACTGAGGTAAACAGGTGCCAGTTTTAGAAACATCTGAAGAAAAGTTCCACTCGCTGATAATATAAATCAACGAATTCTCTGGTCATCGATCGCACGTGTTTTAGAAACAGTAAACATGAGCGTGGTTTATCAATAGCTACGACGCGGACTCACTGGCTTTAGGCTTATAGAACTTAAGGAGCCCCGTGAAGCGCGTGTAGGATATGGCGTGGGGGCAGCTGCGGGACACGAGCAGGCGGAAGGCGAGCTGACAGGCGTGGCGCTTGTGCAGCAGCAACTTCCTGAACTTCTCCTTCTCGATGCCGCTGAACACCACGAACACGATCGCCATCAGCTGGTGGTGGGGGGAGCGTTACAAGCATGGGGAGGTGTTAGGGGGCATGGGGAGGTGCTAGGGGGCATGGGGAAGGTGTTAGGGGGCATGGGGCATGTGCTATGGGGCGTGGGGGAGGTGTTGATGAGCAGAGAGAAGAGGGGAGAGCATGAGGAGGACGTAAGGGAGGATATGTGGGGAGATATGACGTGACAAGAGGAGCAATAAGGAGGCGCTAGGTCAGACCAAGCAAGACACAATGACAAATGAAATACAAATTGAACACCAGGCCTTGAAAAATAAATAATGTGACCTTGTAAAAGAATACTGGACCTTAATGAATAAATGTGCGAGCCGCACAAAAAAATGTCTAGTGGGCATGCCGAACAAACTTTCCATTTATGGCGCTATAAAATAAATATGGGAGCCATATCAAACAACTAGTGAAAGAGAAAGACGAGAAAAGAGCTCACGAAGTTCATGATGCAGTAGAGTGTGACGGCGAGGTAGAGGATGAAGAAGGCGGCACTGCAGCGGTTGCGAGCGTAGGCCGGCATCATCACGTCAGGGAAGCTGCAATACTCCAACTTTAATACCTATCACTAATAGTAATATTAATATCAGTCACTTTACTGTCATAAAGTTAGCTAAGGCTTCATTTACGAACGTTTTTTACTTTTGTCTATTCAGTACAATAAAGGAAATAACATTAATTGACAGTTGGTAAAAATTTAATGTCAGAAATATTTCAGAATTATTAAATCCTCTTAGGGAGATAAAATTCAAAATATAAATTAAGTATTCCACAAGGAGAGCTACACTAAGCTTGAAAAACATTTTCTTGAAAAGCATCATAAAGAGCATGTGCATATAATACACTCTGGTCAATCAAATTACTTCACCAAATTGAACAGCATATTTCAAGTTAATACACAATTTAATAGCGTTTGAATTGAATTATTTTTAAATTTAAATGATAGTGCAATAAGGCTGGTTCACAAAACTGTGGCAGGAAAAAATTTCAAAGCTATGTTATTATATCACGAAAAATGTTTGTCTGCAAGGGAATCTGAAAAAAGTAATAGAAATAGAATAAATAATTAAATAATAATGAAAGAAATATAAAAGTATCTCACTTGGCTGTTGTGAGAAGCACAAAGAGGGACACAAAAGATTGTCCGAGCGTGGTGAAGTAAGGGTCGTCTTGGTACGGGCTGAACAAATAATACCCCAGAGTGGTGAAGACTGTGAGCACCAACATCAGGATAGCCATTATCTCCAGCACCGGAGGCACAGACTGCAGCAGCTGACGCATGAATCTGGTATGTACAATGTGAATATGGTACAATCATACAAGGATTTGTTGTACTTAACGATTCATTAGCCAGATTAAGCAAGATACAGTGTTGAATTTTATACTTATGAGTTCGTTCAAAAACATCTTTGTTTGTATGAATCTGGGATGTACAATGTGCATATGGTACAATCATACAAGGATTTGCTCTACTTGATGATTCACTAGCCACTACAGGATTGAATTTTACACTTTTGAGTTCGTTCAAAAATATCTTTGTTTGTATGGAACAATGTTGTCACAGTGTGTGAATACCTCACTAGGAGTCAGCTATTGCTAATCAAGATGAAAGCTTCAGCAAAATTTTATAACCAAAACTACTTAAATAGTAAGACTGAAAAACTCCAGTATACAAGTTTCCACTATGATCTCCATTGAAAAAATCTGTTAGGACCAAACTGAGACTAATCTCTCACCACCATTTTCTGGCTCAGTTCAAATGATGGTGGCTTGCCCGGGCCATCTTCAAAACTCTCTCAGTCAGAGAGAGTTTTGTTAATTTATGTCCATAACTTCTGTTTTAATACCCAACCTGTGTGTGAACAATCTCGTAAACATGTTCAATAAATGTCAGAAAGTTGGGTACCTCCTGACACCTCCAAGGTAGCGGTTATCAAGAAGGAAGATGGGGCGCAAGGCTCGCGTGGCTCTGAAGTGACTAGAGTTGCGGATGATGACGGTAATCGCTTCTGCCACCATCACCAGCCACGCCCCGCACTGAGCATTACCATAATTGCAGTTAAATACACACATTATAATTTTCAATAGAAATAGTTGCACTTGCATTGATAATTGACAGTTAAGCAATGTAAGAAAAGATATTGGAGCTATCAAATATCAACGTCAGGCAATATGTGCTACAAAAAATAGGAACTTTTAACACTGCCCAAACAAGTAGGTAATGTATTATGATATAAAGTGAAAAAAAAACAGTACATAAATTTAGCAAGCAAACATGATAGATAGCGCAGAACAACCTTCATTCAGCACCACAGAATATTAATTTAATTCTAAATCAGAGAAATGTACATACAATTTTTACAAAAGATTAATTTGAAAATACTATGGACAATATGTAACTTCTATTGACTGATCTAATAATTAAATTATGATTCACAAGCAATATTTAGCAGAAAACTTAAATTTATAAATATATGTGAAGTGGCCATTTGAAATTCACTATGTAAATATAATTTGAGATTAGACCACATGATAGTATTGTTACCAACTTTAATCATAGAGCGAGTGTGTTTAGAGAAATTGCGCCAGCCTCTCCACTTGAGCTGCAGCACAATGCTGATGCCCAACACGCCTAGAGCAAATAGCTCCACAGTAGCATGGATCCCTGCATTCAAATCCTGCAAAATATCATCAGTTAGAATCATTTGATAATTTGCACACAGCTGCATCTTGAAATTTATTGCCAAAATTTCAAAAGATAACAGGAAGGGGTTCACAGTTCTTTTACCAACTTGTGAGATAACTAGTAATACATGAAGCTAATTTTGATGATCTACTGTTAAGTTAACCTGGTATGAAAAAAAATATACTTTCAGATCATTAATACCAGAATTGCCACATTTATCAAGCAATAGGTATATAAATCAGTAGACTTACCTATTTAGAAGTTATAATACACTAAAGAACTGAAGAAATTAGTTGGGTTTCATAAGAAAAATTGAGAAAGTTTTGTAGGGAAAAAAATAAAAATAAACAAACCTTAAATATATACACAGCCGGTCTCTCAGCAGCAGCCAAAGACAGTAGCAGAACTGAAGCAAAAAGGTCGAGGGAGTAAAACCACAGAGAGTGAGACAAGAGGTATGCTGGCAAGGATCCTCTATCTCTGGGGTGGCTGTCAAATTTATCATTGTCTTCCCCTTCCTGCAAAAAAAATATATATTGAACATTTATATTCCATAAAATTTCATATATAGCCAAAGAACTGGAACATATGAAAATTTTCAAATAAAATGTACCGAATCATGGAACAAACACTAAGTTATTAGAGATTTTATAATTTGAATATTTAAATAAAACAAATCCAGATGTGCTTGTTCTGAATAAATCAAGAAAATGTGATCAAGTAATGTTAGATAAAACCTACTTGAAGGAAGATAGCAGCCTCATGGTAATTCATCTGCCAAATGTTTTCATTATTGCTTGGAGTTGATCCTGAAGATGCTGCTTGGTCTTCAAAAGTCACCCTTGGAACCTCAGTCTCATTGTTAGGTCCAATAATGGCCAAAGTGCTGTTTGTGTCAGGAATGCTGCCATCAGGTTCAGTAACACTGCTGCTGAACCTCAGTTGTCTCATAAATGAGTGCTGAGTGTGAGAAGACTCCTCGAGTTGACTTGAGTTGGCAGGCATAATGTACGAGCTATCACAGGAGTGAGCAGGAGCTTGCCTCATGGATGGACTGTTACTCATGGCCAAGATATCAGAAAATTGAGCATCTGGAGATTTAGCAGCACATAAAAACTATCTGGAAATCTGGTTGCAGCTCTATTTGCTTTTAACTCAACTTAGAAGCACTTAGTTTGGAAGAAACAAAACCACAATTATGATTCAGCTCCTGATTAACAAGAACTGCTGGAGAAATGAAATAGAAATATATGAATTGGCATGCATTGTAGTACAATGATCATTTTCATTGTCAGTGTTGTCCATCATGCACATTTTTGCTATTCCATTTCTTCACAAAAGTGAAGATACTTTAGAAACTGAATAGAATTAAAAAAAATAAAAATTTTGCACAATATTAGCAGCCAAACAGTCAATAAAAAAAAAGATGAAATTTGATCAAATACAAAACAAATCAACTAAAATGAGAAGTAAGAAGGATCAATGAGAAGAAAATTTCAGCAAATTAGAGTGGAAGATAATTTAGGATACTAGGTATATTCTAGGCTCACTAAAACTTCTAGACCTGCCACAAGTCAGGCAATGTAAGTGTTTCTGAGAGCCTGAGAGGTATAGATATATCTACACAAAAATGGAGCTGACACAATATTTAAATAAAAAGTAAATTCTTATAATGCTCCTAGGAGCACATTATAAACAAATATCTTCATTATTAATTAGGTCACAATTGGTTTTGATTTGAAATAACATGCATGGTCAGTCTGATATAAGTCAGCATCTTGCATGCTAATAACAATAAAGTCTTGCAGCGCTTGCAGTAGCATATTGTCAATAGATACCTACAAAACAGGGTAATAAAGGATGGACAGGGTAATAAAGGATGGATGGGGTAAAAAGGGATGGATGGGGTAATAAGGGATGGATGGGGTAATAAGGGATGGATGGGGTAATAAGGGATGGATGGGGTAATAAGGGATGGATGGGGTAATAAGGGATGGATGGGGAAATAAAGGATGGATGGGGTAGAAGGGATGGGTAGGAAAAATAGGGACAGCCTTCTGCCATAGGGTAAAAATTTTATAGCAGCAAAACTAATTGAAATATTTCAAAACTAAAAATATTGGTGTAAACTTCCACAATTTTTCTATCTATGTGGCATAACTGATAAAGGAAGTTTAGAAATTATATGTTCACTAGCACTAGCTCTATGAATTCCTGAAAAAATGTTTATAACTGATATTTTAAAAAAGTACCTACTTCTGCTACGTAGCAAGGTCTGTAGAAAATATTTTTGTCAAATTAAAAATTTTGCATAAAAAAGTTGCAAACAGGTGTCAGCTTTGAAACTTCATTGACAGATTTTTTTTTATCTCTATCCAAAACAAAATGGCAGCCATTTCCACATGTGTCATGACTGGATATTAAGGAATAAGCATAGTATGTAGCATAGCAGAGAGCTTTTAGACTCTCCTTCAGGCTTCAAGCCTTCAAATAGTTCAATTGTAAGTCTTAACTCTTACTATAAGTAGACCAGCAAAGCACTATCATGATGTGATGATGCCTACCAGCATCATCAATCAGAATCATCATAGCCTCATAGGCCTACATAAGATATTGGTATAAATCTTAAATGAATGAGAAATAGAAAATGCACCGATTTTAAAAAATCACCGGTTGGCCATTGCCTCTGCGGCCCAAATAAGGGTAAGGGACACCCCTTAAGGCATAATATAATATGGGACACCCCACCCCCAAGTCCTAGTCTCCTAGGACCTATTAACTTCAAGTATTAATGCGGGCTGTGGGAGCCAGAGTCCAGAGTCCAGACTCCAGAGATGTGCAAAAACTAAGCTGTAAATTATTAATAATATAATAATAGCAGTTTCAGCTTTTAGTAGGCTGTAGGCAGTAATCAGCGGTCCAGGGCGCAGAGGGTGGATGCAGCGTTCCAATATATGGGTTTTTAAGCCCTAAGCGTCGCCAGGTAATTTTAAGATGCATCGACGGGTAATTTTTAATGAAAAGCCATTTATGCTAAGTAATGAAAAACTATTTACAAGCCACAAACTTATTTACAAGGTTGCATGCACGTATTACCCCAAATAACTAATTTTACCCTAAAAACAGTCTGATTGTACAGCAAGTGTCAACTGAATTACTGAACATTTGATAATTTCGTCTGACCGCTCTAATGTAACCGCAACTACGTAATCGTAAGCTTGATGTTTACATTTTTTTGGCAGGAACTCATCGCAAGTGATTTCTGGACAAGCTTCACTGCATGCTGATCCATCCAACATATCAGAAACCTTACTTTTTTAAATAGTTGGCCGAAGACTGACAAATATATTAAATGCAAGAATTTCAATCTAAATGTGTCAGCAAGATCTTCTGAAGGCATAAATTTTGCTAGTGAAGCGTCACCAAAGATCTTGCAATATTCAACCACTCTCTGGCACAGTGAAACATGCATACAAATAAAACAATAGAAATACAGACCGATCTTTCAGATGACACCTGTTCCTAACTGGACCTAACCTGCGAGATTTTCGTTGATCAGCTAGGTTTTTTCTATGTTTGGAGTAGTCTCTGCATAGTGGTCACTGGTCAGCAGTAGGCCTGTTACCTGTTGCTGATTCTTAACATTGCAGAACATTCAAAGCATCTTGCGGTCTCAAACTTGCAACTTGCTGCTACAATTCTGACGTGCTTAACTGCCCGGCCTCCTCAGTCGGGCAGCCTTATCATACATAAGAAATTGGTTTAAATCTTAGGTAAATGAGGAAATTAAAAATGAACTGATTCTAAAAAATTTCTGGTTTGTCAGATGTCACTATGTTACCTGGCAACGCAAACGCTTAGGGCTTAAAAACCCATATATTGGCAACGCTAAATCCACCCTCTGCGCCCTGGCTAAGTCCTTGCCAATTTTGACCAGAAACTGGCGCACAGAGCTGGGATCAAATCTGCACCTCTCTGCTCAATTAGTGGCAAAGCAGAGAGTTTTTTAGACTCAATTCTGAATCAAGTAAATGAGGAAATTAAAAATGAACAGATGACTGACTACCATTGGCATTGGGAATATTGAATATGGTGTAGCGGTGGGTCGACTCCAGATGCGAGGTCGACCCGAGCAACTAGTTTTCCGACTGAGATGAACGACGAGGAGATTGACGTGTGGGAGATTGGCATGGAGACTGACGAGGTGAAGATGGGCGAGAGTTTGCTAGGATACGGCAGTTATTTTTGTTTGGCCACTTGCACCATGGTTTACACATACGAGCAGCCTCTGCAAAATACAAATGCGCACGGCAGACTTTAGGGCGCTGACGAGGAGAAAACGGCTGCAGACCAACCGGTTGAAAATTGTTCTCCCGTTGGCGTCGTGGCGCGTAATCTTGTGGCTTGCTCTGCGGCTGGATTGCGGCATTGACCCGTGTCTGCACTTGCTGGTCAGAAAAAGGCATCAATTGGTCTGCCAGCGTACCGAGCTCTCTTAGTGGAGTTTGTTTCTGCGAAGCGATGATAGGTGCCTATGTTGGGCGGAAGTGATTGGGCAAACTTATGCCGAACCAGTTCTTCTCCTACTCCAACTTGATCGGCGAGGGACCTGTCTCTTATACACATCTAGATGTGTATAAGAGACAGGATCAACAGTTCAAGGCAGTGCCAGTGAACTGAGTGAAGGCACTGAAATTTGAACTGAACAATAATGAAGTCATTGAAGTGAACATGGTAAGAATTAACAAACAAGATGAGTTGTAGCCAGTTGGCTGTTACCCAACAAGAATTCCTACAGTTTGCAAATTATTTATTCATCCTGCCGACCCGCACCACGACCATAACATCACTGACTGTCTGACACAGTATTAGCCTATTAGGCCTACTATTAGAGTCAGAGTGACAGACTGTCAGTGTCAGAGACTCAGACTCGTTTCGTTTCAGATTTGCGGGAGCCTCTGAAGACCAGTCCAATGTGGCCNCACTTTCCACCTCCAGAGAAATTATAGGGGAGGTCTTCCTTGCCCCAACGGCTAACCTGATACATCTGTTCTGAATTTTGTTTAGTTTCTCTAGATAGCTATTTGCCGCTGTCTCATAAAACATGGAGCCATAGTCCAGCTTACTTCTTACCACTGCCTTGTAAAATTTGAGCAAAACTTCTCTATCTGCTCCCCAATGATGAGCTGACATTGCCTGCATCACATTTACACGCCCAATACAGCTATCTCTGAGGTAATTTATATGGTCTTTCCATCCCAAAGCTGGGGAGTCAAGCACGAGGCCCAAATACTTATACGTTCTGACAAAATCAATACTTATATTATCAATTTTAACTTGAGGGTTATCGATGTTCTTACGAGTGAACAGCATGGCCTTAGTTTTTTCTGAGTTCAGTCTGAATCCCCAAGTTTGGGTCCAATTAAACATTAGATTTACTTGTGCCTGTATACAGGCTTGCACTTCTTCCAAGTTAGAGCCCCTGCAGTAGATGGCAATGTCATCAGCATATTCTGCTAGTGCCACCCCTTGGACATGAGGGAGATCTGAGAGCATTACATTGAATAATGTGGGAGATAGTATGGCTCCCTGGGGAACTCCTCTGGTGATGATGTGTTCAGGTGATTTAGCTCCTTCAAAGAGAACCCTGAATGATCGGTTGTCTAGATATTCTCTAATCCATGCCAACATCTTTCCTCTTATCCCTTTTTGCTGTAATTTATATAAGAGGCCCAGATGCCATACACAGTCATACGCTGAGCTCAAGTCAAAAAAGACTGCTATACATACTAGACAGTTGATAAGTGTTTCTCTCACACACTTCTCCAATCTAGCCGCCTGGTCAAGAGTGCAAAGGCGCCGTCTGAATCCACACTGAGTTGCACTTAATGCTCCACTTGATTCCAACTGAAAGTTTAATCGATTGCAAACCAAACGTTCCATTAATTTTGGGATGCAGGGGAGCAACGAGATGGGCCGATATGCTTTAGGGTCCAGAGCAGACTTTCCAGGCTTTAGAATAGGAAGCACTAGGGCCTTCTTCCATGTGTTAGGGATACAGCAGTTTTGGAAGCTGTGGTTAAATAATCTGAGTAGCCACTTTTCATACTGAAGTGGGAGGTGTTTTAGCATTGCATTGTGTATATAGTCATGTCCTGTGGCCAAATTATTCAAATGTTTAATGCAGTCTGTTAGTTCTGAATATGAAAAGTTGCCATTATAGGGGAGTTGAGAGTCATCCATCAGGGCCACTGTTACTGGCAAGAGAAATGGAGCCCCATTTAGGCGCAGTTGCTGTGTAGCAATTAAGGTGGCATATTCTGCTGCAATGACACTGGCTTTTCTTTCTGAGTCTGTTATAACTTCATTTCCCACCATGATTGGTGATGCTGTG